GGGGCGGGGGGGGGGGGGGGAGTGACTGAGAAAGAGGAGAGAAGGAGAGGAGGATATATACGGTATGACTGAGATGGAGAATCAAGTAAATGAGCGGCGACTGGGATGCGATTTGATGGCGTTCACATTCATCTGAGTATCTTTTCTATTTCTGAGGTTAGTCGCGCACAACTAACATTGGCTAAAATTGCCAATTCCAATACGGATCTCGAGTATCATCGACATAACTTTCGGTGTGTGTATACCACTCGACGCTAAGCAAGGCTCTTATTACATCTTGAGCAAATTGCAAATTGGTAAACGCATTTGCATATAGATTGACGGATTCTTCCAAAATATCGGCAATTCAGTATGGCGATCGATCGTAAAATCAGGATTAAAACGTGATGCCAATCGGAAAACAGGGACTGTATGGATCTACAAAACATCGTTGCACAGCTTCGTTCAGGCGGCAGCCGTATATTCCAATGTATTTCCGAAGTTCCACCAGCTCGAATCTAATCCCACGCCGCCGAAGACGATTTCGACGACTTTCCCAAGGATTGCTCGCTCTCTCAGAATTCGCTTCCCCCTCCCCCCCCCTCTCTCTACTCTTACAACTCTTCTACGAAAATTTCTCCAGAAAGAGAGTATACACGGTGGTCGGATCAAAATCGAAATCGAAATCGAAAAAAAAAGAGCGTTTGGACTGGCCTTTTAATACTCACTACACCATCGCAGAGCGACAGGGCCGCTCTTGAGTTCCGATGTCCCTTGACGAAGCCCCTGTAATGACATTGCTCATCAGGGATCCTCTTGAACCGCAACGCGTCATTTAGATTGGTGGAGATCCCGGCGCCACGAATTTCCACAACCATATCGGGCGAGATGAATTCACGATGGGGTTGCAGTTCCACATGGTGATCGGCGCCATTGAAAGGAAGCACCAAATGTAACTTCTCTGAGGGTTCATTCTCATTAGCTGATCTACGTTGTCGCGTTTCGGTGTCTCGTCGGTCGTAGAACTTTGGCAAGGAGAACGTGTGGAAGCTGCCATCCTCGAAGACTCTTCGTGGGATCAAAAGCTCTGGGTCGTGGATATTGCGGGAATACCTGTCTTGATAGAATTTCATTCAATGTTTCATTGAAATCGATCATTGTTAGAAGAAAAAGTATCACCGCCACTTGACACAAGAAAGACTGTAAATAAAGACGTAGTGACAGGTAACTCAATTGTCAGTTCCAACGTCGGTTGTCGAATTTAAAAATCTCTCTTCTATCTCGCCATTCAGTCACAATGTTTGCTGTTCTTTCCTATTTATATTTGCGAAAGAGAGAAAACGGGTGTGGTCGCACAACGGGTTTCGCATTAATGGGATACGAAGTACCATCAGCACTGCGAAAATCGAAGCTTAAGAAAAATAACAAGAGACACGGGATGTCATTCGACATGAAGAATAGCGAGTGTGCGTCATCCTTCTTAGTGTCTCGTAAGGAATCTATTTTTCTATTTTCTCAATCGGAGTCGAATTACTCTAAGAAATGCAATGAACGAAACGGCAGAATGGAGTCACTATCGCGTTGGTACGCCAAAACACCAAAGTCCTTCCTCGAGCGGATTTTTCCATTTTCTGGTATTGTCGTACTCAATTTATTTCCCATAAAAATTGATAGTTATAGCAGTAAGAGTAGAAGCAGGAAAATGCAAGGGCAAATGCACTCACCTACCATGGAGGACGTTCCCTGGGCTCAGTGGATACCTGTCGAGCATGTTGCCAGTGAAGCCAGAGGCAGCCCGGAGAACACTATAAAATATCAAAAGCACAAATCCTTCTCTCATAACATCGAATCGAAATGGAGATGAGGTTGTCGAAATAGTGACGAACAAAGAAACGTCAGAAATGTTTTGCGTGACAGTCGGATGACTGACAAATTTTCCGGAAGCACGAGCTTTGTTTCACGTGCGTGGTCATATGTGCGCTCGTTCATGAGAAAAGTGACGAGCGACGAGGAGCAGAGTTGCCAGGCAAACCGCAGTAACGCAGACTGCGGCAGTCGCTGGTACAGGAAGTACTAATCCTTCACAGAGAGGCTCTTTCAACCACGAGTATAACCTCCTGTTTGGGTTTCGTTCCAAGCATACACAACCATACACGATAATATGCCGTACATGGACTACGCCTCTACATATCCTACAGGATGTGGCATATCTGCGGAATATTCGGTCTCTTCCGTTTCAGCGAAAAAGTATTTCTGCCAGGAACCAAATTCGACTTTACTTTCGAATATTCTCATAAAGATTCGGGTCGCGTATATAAATATATGTATACATTTATACCTGGTGCACTAAGCAGTATTCGGAAATACGGCCTTATTACTGAGACATTAGATATTTAACTATTCGACAGAATTTTATAATATGTGGTGTGCATTTCATTTAAGGGGATACAATTTCCGTAACAGCGACACATGATGTCGATGTCAGGAGTACCAACGTGTAGCGTCAACTTCACTGCTCTCGAGTACAAGTGTATCGTCCTTTGGCTTTACCTTTAATGTATTACGACACATTACGGTACAGTAAAACGTCTTTAATAAAATCACCTCCAATAAGATATTTTATATAAATGAACATGTTACATGATCGACCTTTGAGTGAAATTGGGTTAAGGGGGAAAAAAATGGAACGTCATCCTTAATGTTTTCCAGATGTCGGACCTTATCTATGTCTGGTTTTTTTCGTATTTTGCTGGACAGCATTAGTGGCGTCATAGTGACTCTTAAATTCGTCGTTGAACGGTACAGTAAATGATTAGAGCATTGATCGCGAGACGCTGGCTTTGCATATTTCTATCTTGGATGAGCTAATAAATCGAACCTCGAACAAATCTGGGAAACGTCACGAAAAACTTATGAGGAGGAATTATTTTGTTGGTAGAGTGCAATCTGAATCAGTGTAACTTTGGGAGATCTGAAAGTGTTTCTGTGAGAGAAAGTAGCAGACAATTGGTCGAGTGATAAATCTCACACGAATCTCGTATGAGTAGGAAAAAAAGGTGAGATTTGTCGAAACTTCGAAGACGGCTGGATCGGTGAGATTTCTCTGCCGCAATGACGACAGTCCCTTGTGGTTCGAGAATCACGGGTCACAAATTGCATTGACACAGACCTGAGTGTCGACAGAGCCTCGAGTAATGGACAGCATCTATGCCCAATTATCCGTTTTATAATAGGAGACGCATTAGTGATGTTAAACAGCCGATGACAGCGATTCCGATTCCGTCGAATCGTTTGAATTCTAACCACTGTTTACGACTATAACTTACAGATTTTACATATTCAAGTCTAAAGTTAAGATTGCGGTATTCGAAATCTTAACCCAAATCTTAAGTTCTCTAAAGAAAACTCTCAATTTCTTTTTCTCTTTCCTGCTGTCTTTTGGAAGCAAGACTCGTTCATTGTGTTAATTGCGTATTTGCCTCGTGCCGATCGCTTGGGATAATTTCAAGGATAATTATCCAAGGTTATGGAAACAATCGAGCCATGTGGTTCTAGGTAAAACATTGTTTTGCAATCAATGTCCATACATGTGCAAGTTTATGGCTATATTCTCGTCCTGAGATCCTGACATCCAGATAAAATGTGTATTGAAGTATATTTTAAATGTGCTTCATACCGAAAGTTCCCGTCAACTTGGCAGTCGTGCAGGCAATCTCCTAGTTATCCTTGATATGCAAGTTTGTCGTAGCTTCGAGAGAAGCTACTGTAAACAGATATCAGCTACGAGATGGTGAGGTGATTTCGATCGATACCGAATGTTAAAGTGATGGTATCCGCTTGCATGGGATAAACTGGAGCTTTGTACGGCGACCAACAACTGGACAGGACGTTCTAATTTTATGTCCGGGATTGAACGTACGTCTTCTGATAATCGATAAATAGCTTCAACTTCTTCTCTTGCTATTTCGCAATCCTTCATCCATTGTACGGTGCACTGAATTAAAGATGGCTCCTTTTTTTTACAGATGGCATTTTCTATCTCCTGGGGATAAATTCGATTATCGCAACTATAAAAGCGTTGTCAAATTAATCTAGAGGTCGCTCGCTCGATAAGCCCGACAAACGTAAAGGAGACTGAAGAAGCGAGTGTGCGTGTCCCGGGATTCCGACGGTCGTCGTGACCACGAGCACCTGCTGCCTCATCGAAGCGGTCGAATGGTCAACTGGCGACAAATCTTGCCGGACGGAAACGCGCTCGCGTGGGTCGATCCTCCAATTTTGGAATAGTAGCCTATCTGACTGGCTGGCTGCTCGTATGCCTGCCTGTGACCACCTTCTCAGTGGGCTGCGAGAAGGCAACGCTGTTGGTGCCGACGGTGGTCATTGTGGCGATGGTGGTGGTGGTGGTGGTGGTGGTGGTGGTGGTGGTGGTGGTGGTGGTGGCGGCAGCGGTAGAAAGGGGTCCATCGAGGGGAACTAGTCTTACCTAGATCAGCCGAGTCGCGGGCGTCAGAGGTAAAGAAGGAAGTTCAAGTGGTGAGAAAGAGAGGAACGAGCGAACGTGGAACGAGCCGAGAGCGGCGTTTCACGAGGAGAGGCTAAGAGAACCAATAGAGTGAGAAGAGGAGAGAAGAGAAGCGACCGCCACCGCCACCGCCGCCACCGCCGCCGCCGCCGCCGCCACTAATCCACTACCAGCGGTGGCGGCAGCGGTAGAAAGGGGTCCATCGAGGGGAACTAGTCTTACCTAGATCAGCCGAGTCGCGGGCGTCAGAGGTAAAGAAGGAAGTTCAAGTGGTGAGAAAGAGAGGAACGAGCGAACGTGGAACGAGCCGAGAGCGGCGTTTCACGAGGAGAGGCTAAGAGAACCAATAGAGTGAGAAGAGGAGAGAAGAGAAGCGACCGCCACCGCCACCGCCGCCACCGCCGCCGCCGCCGCCGCCACTAGTATTGTGATGGCTATCGTTGCCGTGACTTCGAGGACCACGAGGTCCACGCGCAGCATCCAATTTCTTGATGTACTTCGTCATTGATTTCTGTATGGATCGGAACAACATTCCTTAACCAAGCACCATTTGGGGATCAATATTTGTCCACACTGTGCCTGTAATTTTCACTGCCGTTTCTATAGAAGTAACAGTTACGTCCGTATGCCGCATTATATTGTGCGGGATATACAATGTGTCTTTTTTATATAAAACAGTAAAAACAACCAAGTACCTACGTAAGGACATCATTTTGAGATTTCGGAGATTCTTTCAAAGTGCATCTGGTGTTCGTGATCATCTTCTCGGCTGGCACATTCACACACGTACCTGCTGTCGGATCGAGGAACTTCCTCTCGTAGACGAACCAATTCTAATGAGCATCCGCATCCGGTACGTTAAATTAGACGTTAGAAAGAATTTACTATTCGAATGATTTCTCGGGAACTTTGTGGAAGGCGCGACACTCTGGAGCACTAGTAAAATGCTAGAACGCTGAAATGCTTTCGCGCTGTCTGGGGAACTCGTGGTGCTGTATAAATAACGTGCGACGACGGTATGTGAATTTCCAGAGGCAGGTATCCACTCGGAGTAACTAGACTTGTTTTTCCATAAAACAGAAAGTACAGTCTGTGGAAAGAGAGCAGCGGGTGCCGTGTTCCATGGCTGAAGGAATCATCTCATCACGATGTTCTTGAACTTTAATATATCATAAAGGTAACCACGAAATTCACCCTATCGTTTACCAATTAAAATTCTACGAGTCTTCCCGCTGATTTGACCGAGTATGCGCGAGTCGTGTCATAGATGGTAAAAAATTGGAAACCCCGTTTTATCGGCTGTATTGCGATCTGTGAGCTTTTCCTTAAAAAAAAAAAAAGTTTAAAGACGATTGGCTCAGAGGCACAGAGCCACAGTACTGGCTGTAATTAATTTCGATTCATAAATAACCTTTCTCGTTCGATCTATCACTCGGAGAACAATGAGAGCCGTAAGAGAGGGCAGCAACGCCGGCGCCACGCTCGCATGCCAAAGTGCCCCACATAAATCACACATAAACATTTACCTGACAACTCGGCTCGAGTTAATGTTTCTGAGACAGTGACTGGCGGACCGTCCGCTGCGTTTACATTTTTTCATGACCATGCGGATTTACATGAACATGGAAGAGAGGCGGAGAAAGGGAGAAAGGGAGATTGGAAGAACGTCGAGAGAAACCGACAAAGCTAACAGCATGCTAGTGCACGAAGTGTCGGTGCGTCGGTTCTAGCTTCGACGACAAAAGCGTCCTCAACGTTGGGCCAGATAATCTCATCTGAAGATAAAACGATTGCGAAGATGCTCAACGTGCTGCATATAAATCTCGTGGACGCAAATATTAAACTGGGAGACTAAAATTCTCTCCCCTCGAAGATCGTTTATTATTTTGTTAGACTGAAATTTCTGTCTTGACGCGGTGATTCCCGGGAGAAATAAAATTAGCAACTTTATCGACTCTCATCTAAAATATCATTTGGTTTAGCAAAGTTTCTTTAACCTGAAAGCTGCTGTAAAATTTAAAACCGGGTTCACGTTCTTTTCGTGTTTCGTTTGATTTTCGTATTTCGCGTAATTGCTTTCGTTATTGATATGGAATCTGACTAATGCACGGGCTTAGTTTTCGTTTCTCCCTCGCTGCCACAGAATATCTAGCACGACTGGTTGTAGAAGTCGTGATCAGTTTCGGAAATCGATCTTGAAGTAAAAAACCGAAGAAAGCAATAAAAAGACGAAGAGACGAAGAAAAAGAGAAAGAATAGAAGCGCCGAGGCGCGACAGTTCTCCCATATGGATATTTGCCTTCCCTATTGACTTCCGTGTCTCACAAATCGACGTTCTGTCAGTTGCATCGCGCCTTATTTCCCTGGACCCAGTGCTTTCGGGAGTAGTCTTTCTAGGAATTGCGTTTTCGACTGCGTTATAACGCTAGCTACCTAATCTCGTGCTTTCTATGCTATTAATTAGTACTCTTGCTTTACGACCATTATGAATCAAGCGTTACACACTAGATTACAATAGATACCGAAAAGGCTTCTCCTCGGAGATAAGTTCGGACTCTGCGAGTCGTGAATCTCGAGTTATGACTGTACGCGAGGGAAATCGCTCCGAGAGAATCCCGATGAGTTCATGACTAACAGGACATTTGGCTAGTCGATTACACCACCCTGGAGATTGACTTAATCTCGTTTGGGCCGTAGGTGAAATGCCAGGGAAGTAGAAGAATGAACAACCATCAGGTTTCTATTCGCATTGCCCTGCTAGAAAGGATGCTGTCGAGTATGTGGTATTTGCTGATCTTGCAAGCTGCCGCTGTCTACGCCTTCCCGGAATTACAGCAACGACGACTTCCCCTAAGGGGTGAGTATCACTGCAATTATTACCTATTTCTTCTTTTAAAGATTGTTTTTACGTTGGGCGCCTACTACTATTTTTCTGGTAGTCTCCTTGACTATTTCATGCTTGGGAATTTGGGTGAGATAACGTCATTATTAATTTGCGGCTTTCACTTCCAGTCATTCTTAGGAGTGTTTGACAAAACAGTGCGACTATGCCAAAAATTTAATTGTGACATTTTCTTCTTTTTTCTCGAAGAAGGTCGAGAAGTGGTCAAATTAGTTGTTAATTCAATTTACAGACAACCCTCAATTTACAATATTACTGAAGAATTTTTCTTAATCAGTATCTCGTTAAAAGCATTTATTCCGTTAGACGGAAATTGCTGTAGGAAAGCTGTTTACGCAGCATTATCATCATGGCGCGTTCGGTACGTTACTGCAAGTAATTTCTTCGTTACTCTTATAATCATCTTGATGGCTTGGAGAACATTATAAAAATCCATCGTCATTATCGTACTAGACATAAAGTAATCACGTACCATATATTCAAAAATTGTATTATATACGTATATGTATACAAACATGTGTGTGTACATGTCTCGAAGAAAAATTGGGAGAACAATTTACGTGCATCATTTCGGAAGAGCATTTATGTAGACTCGTTAAAAAGAACTGGCCGCGATGTGACTAACTGCGTGATGGTGCGTGGGTGCTACGTAATAAATAATGTATACACAGGTAATCACCTGTGTGCGTGCACGCACGTATTCTTGGCCCAGAAGTGCGTGGGCACGCTGTCAATGGACCAGTCGTGTCTTCTTTCAAGCGCAATGAGTTTAGCTCGCCGATGCGGTATTGCGTGGGGCTGCCTGTCTGTCCGAGATCTGAAAACCTATCAGGTCTCTTTGCCCCCTCATCCCTTTGTCTTCTTGCTTTGCCCGCAATCTCCGAATAAGGCCGTGGAAGTTGGCACTTCTCTAGCGGAGAAAAGGACCAACGATCGGACGAGTATACAATAGAGATCTAGTAGACAGGCGGATCAGAATTCACGTCTGCAACCATAAGATCTCTGTTCATCCATCGACCGATAGATGATTTTTCCGTTCTTCTTTTCTGAATTTTTTTCTTTTATTTTTTTTTTTTTATTGTGCGACCATACTTCAGTGAGATACGAAGTTGGCGAGGCGAGGGCGTTCTTCGGTTCTTCGTCGCGACACAAGCGATTCGGCTCGGCTCCATGGCAGGAACGCGTCTCGCGTCTCAGAGTGTCTAGGCGAAGACCGCAACTTGAACTGCCAAGGTGAGCCAGATACACGACATCCTATTTAATCTCATTGAGTCTGGCGACGCCGCCACTGCCGCTGCCGTTGTCGGCATCGAACGATCGTCTGTGCCCTAGAGGAAGACAGACACAGAAAATTGTGCGTAGTTCTCATACACGAGGAAGCAAATCGCGAAAATAACTCAAGAAATATCTCGATTCTTCAATTTATTTGACGCGTCGCCCCTTGCTTACGCTTGCCTTCTGTCGACGGTGTTTTCGTGATAATCAAGTGGTACTTTAGCGTTCAAGCTCATCTCATGAGTTTGCGCGCTTCACTTTGTTAGCTTGGAAACCACTACTTTCTCCCTTTACCGTTCCGACCATCGCTCCTCATTCCTGGCATAGGAGACTTGTCTCTCTCTCTCTCTCTCTCTCTCTCTCTCTCTCTCTCTCTCTCATCCCTTGCATCTTTCAAGTTAACGCAGGGTATCTCTGATTGAGCCCTCTCCTCCATCCGAGCTTCTTGGTATCCAGCAACCTCTCCTCTTTCCATTTTTCTTCGTTCTGCGGCTGGCGACGTTACTCTCTAGTACGGCTCACAATTTTGGACAGTACCCGTTGCCGTTCCACGTAGCTGCGGTACAGGAGGTTGGATGAGAAGCCCAAGTATATCCTTGTTGGAAAGAGGACAATGTGTTGGAATATTAAAACCTTCTTAGGTACTCGTCAATATAAATCAACGTTGTTGGCTCACGAATCTCTTAGATTATTCATTGGTATCCTGCAATCAGCACCAAGTATTTCTTTTCCTTCGGTGTCACGATCTTCCTCGTACATATCTTTACGTCATTTGGCATCGATGTCTCTTTTCTTCAGCAATAAGTATCTTCACAAATGCTTACTCGTTGACTTGACTAGCGTTACGAGTCCATATCCGTATGGTGTAATCCCTCTTCACGACCTTCGATAATTCCTCGCAACTCTTTCGTATAAAGTGTATAAAATTCGCTAAGCGTTTTCATGACCCATAGTAGTTGCCATTCTCACTGCTTCTTACAAACAGTTTCCTTCCTTCGTATTTCACGAGCCGTCCGAGTCGTTGAAATACGTAATGTATCGGACTAAGCGAAGAAAAGTGTGTAAAATCGTAGAAGGGCGTCATTAATCGGATATCGACAGACTGAGAAGGATTAGCGCGTGGGCATTAACAGAGACGCGATTGAAAGGCGTGACGCAATAGAATCGGGGTGTGCTGCTGCTCCGTTAGTGTCACGAAACAATTGCTTTTCTGCTTATCAGTTCGTTACGCATTATTAATTGTTGTCCGTCATTTGGAGTTTCCGGATGTCTCATTTTTCTATCTTGATCTCGGTCCAGTGGGATTCTAAAGCAATGCGCGCTCGACAGGTCGTAACCGCGAAGCTCCAAGTCCAGGTGCGCTGCAGACAGGCCGATCCCTGATTGGTCAACCTGCTTCCGTCCGCACGTATATTAAATCACTGCGTTTACGAGGAATAGCAGCTGGACACGATTAATTAGCGGCATGTAGCATTACCGACTTGCTATCGAAGTATTGACTCGATATCAGGGAGCCAGCATACCGATGTCTTATGGGGCCGTATGCCTACCGAGTCCAACAAGTTTATACAGTACGTGGATCGTAAAATGTCACGCACACGCGCAATCGATCTCTCTTGCGTGCCGCATTAACAAAGGTGTGGACAATAATTAAGTTGTACGGCATGATTAATCGCCGTCTCTACTTGACCCGAGCCTGTTCCATCGCTCGCTCTCCGGGTGATTGTCGTGTGTATAACCTACCAACGGTGCGCGTCGGATAACTTGTCAACGTAAGATTGAACTGCCACGACGACATATACACACGTCTACTCAATGTCACATCAATTCAAGTAACTTTGGTTTTACATTGAAGAAAAATAATATAGAAGCGACCACGCCCTTCTGCTGCAATTATTAAGTTTGCAATACGTCGAGATCAAGTTGGACGATAACTTCGTAGAATTCCGTGAATATGATGCAGTGAAAATTGTATTTTCAGGTACCGGGTACCTGAAAATTGTATTTTCAGGTACCGGGTACCTTGTAAGGCCGCGATACTAATGAGTCGGAAAGACTAAAATCAAAGGGTTACGCGTATTCGCAAGTTGACTAATTAATAACTCTGCACAGATCGCGAATAATTACGTTAGGCAACGATATCGTATATCATCGATAGACTCTAATTGGCTAGGCTGCGTAAGCAGGTAGGAAGGTCGATAGGTAGGTAGGTAGGTAGGTAGGTAGGTAGGTAGGTAGGTAGGTAGCTCTAGCTAGCTAGGCACGTAGGCAGGTAGGCAGGTAGGCAGGTAGGCAGGTAGGTACTAGCCTGCCTCCAGTCAAATGCGAACTCGAAGCGTTAAGCTGCATTAAACTGCGCTGGAACTGCAGAGTAGCCTGCCTCGTGGGAGGTCTGCCTTCCAAGCGTTGCGCTCTTTCTCCTCCCGCAGTTAACCCTGGACTGCTCGACGATCTATTCTCATTGGACGTTCCACCATTTTTCTATGCTGACTGATAATGGGTTAATGGTGATTATATACTTGGGCAAACCGCCATAGCTATAGCTCGCTAGTTATAGTTAGTTCTTCCTTCAACATTGTGCAGAGAGACAGAAATAAGAAGGAAGAACGAAAGGAAGCATCGGCTGCGACGCTGTATCTTCGTGTAGAAATCTTAGCGCCCGGAATCGTTATTACCCAATCCATATGTCGCGAGCGTGCTTGTCGTCTCCATTGAAATGCGGCTCCGCGCGAGGCCTACTTCATTTTCACTCTCGAGATCAGCGCTCAAGGCGATTGGCTCTCCACGTGCTCGTTATAATCTTCTCTGTGCGAGATCGATCCGACGGAATTCGATCTGTCGAGCTGACAACCCTCCACAATTCCTCACTGCCATAGGAATCCTAAGTGGTGGCTATACTATACACATGTCTCTCTACAACCCAATCTTTCTTCTCTCGGTTTGCTGTCGCGCGCTGACTTGCATGTTTCACTCCGTACGCCTTTTACGGTTAGAGGTTTCTCCTTGCAGCAACGATCTACATGGTCGCTCTATATTTTATTGGAAATCGAGGGACATCACGGGATTCCAGGAAATACAAAGTGTCGCTGTGTGAGATGTATTAAAGATTCCTGGCTGATTGTGAGCCTCTCTATTATGGTCCTCGTAGACACACTACTACTCCCCGTTATGGTCCGGCAGCGACGTAGCGCCAGTCAACGGTACCAGGGATTGTTTACGACCCTATGGATATTCCAAGTGAAAACCAGATGTAATTGTCGAGCTGTTGTGGTTCGTTGATCGGATCAACTTGTTTCGTAGTAGGAGGTCGTAGGTTGCTGAATACTGTTCTCCGAGGATAATTCCCGCTCCTGCTTCCCACTTATACTTTATCTCTTCCGTTCTTCTCTCTACAAAGAACTTTCCAGAGGCACGAGAATCACATCGTGTATGCGCCCAGTCGACCGATTATTTTTCCAAATCTCATTTGAGCTAAGTGATTTATTGCCATGGCAACGCGTTGACAAATAATATCAAACTAGGTAGGGGCTAGCTCATTTGTCATAGTCAACGTGATTGGTGTTAATAAAGTATATATAGCAATTTTGTCGGGTTATTCGATAAAGAATTAATTTGTATTGAATCCTTGCGGACATGGGTGGCCTTGAATCAGGTAGAGCTTGATCTGGCGAGTCCAGATATTTATAAAAAATGAGAGTTTAAGAAAAAGGTCAAACCGTTGATAAGAATTTGACGTTACCCGTGTTCTAGAAACTTCGTAGAACACGAAAGTTTTGTGTAACTTTACGATTTTATTAAGAAGATGGTTTTAAAAAAAATAGTAACACCATTCGGTGATTTTAATTGATCTTTGGCTGCGTATCCTACGGGTAATGAGCTACGGTATAATCCTACTTCGAACTTTTTAGTTTTCAATTACTTTGTCCCGTCAACATCTTTATTTCTTTGCCTCGTTTGTTCCACGTTAAGACATTAACGGTAGCGCGATTACAGGACTCATTCATCGTTTCATACAGAATGTCAAATGCAAAATAAACTTGCTTGCCCATATAAGCGTCTTACCACATCGAAATCAGATAAATCATGCTTAGTGCGATAATTAGCAATATTTATCATTGGGCACTTCTAGTTGCTAATTGCCATAATAAAATTATCGTTTCATATCGCACCGTATTCCTAGTACGTAAATTCCTGCCAATTAAAGTAATAAGGAGAGTAACGAGCGCGTCGATAAGGCGTCGCCCCGCGTTTATTTGTCCAGCATCCTTCTTCGAGGATCAAGTACCGGAGTATCGAGAGAGTCGTGTATCAAGAGCGGTGTCGCAGTATCACACGGTGTGTTCCTCGTGACGTTGTTATGCGTGACACGCACGAAACACGCTCGTCCCTTGTTCGAATAGCGAGTCAGGCAGGCAGGCAGGCAGGCAGGCAGGCAGGCAGGCAGGCAGGCCAACTGCATGCACATTTAATCATAAGCTAATTGAATAGCGGACAGTCTATTCCCGGTTTGTAACCATCTCCTTCTTTCTCGATTACTCTTTCTCTACACTGACAGATACTAAATCAATGCGGAATAATCATAGACTGCTTTTAATATTCTATTTCGCGTTATAGAACCAGCTCATACATACTATATCATACTTTTCAGTGCTATCGAAATCAATCTCCATACCAGTAGAGGATTTTGCATTTCCATACTCCGATCATAATAACCCATCTGCTATTGGGAAGTTACATTTAACGAAGGCAAAATACACAATTAAGGAGCAAAGACTGACATGGGGAATTGAGTATTGCGTCGTCTTCTGTTATAGGAACATACACTCAGCGGCTCTACGATCACGAGCATGAGATCGTGACACCGCGAAAGGTTACGCCGGAAGGTGAGCACATATCACACAACGTGACTCATCACCACGACGAGGATGGCCCCGAGGTGCATTATCGAGTGGACATTGCCGGAAGTGAGTATCACCTCGAGCTGATAGCGGCAGATGACTTTATCGGACCGGGAATCCTCGTCGAGAGGCGGAAGCGAGATCTTCACGTGAGACGTCGCCCGAAAGATCGGTCAAGTAAATGCCATTATCGAGGATTCGTAAGAAGTCAACCTAATTCACGAGTAGCCCTTTCCGCCTGCGACGGTCTGGTGAGTTTCACGTATCATTTAATTATCGAATGAGTATTTGATATACATGGATGTCGTTCTCGAAGAATTTTGGGGATGCGAGGTGAGATCGGGAATATCGGAAATGCAGAAACTTCAGGGAAAAAAAGAACGTGGATGAATTTCCAAGGACTCGGAATCTCTGGAAGTTAAGGAGAAAAAATGGAAGCATGCATTAGTGCAATTTGCTCGCAGCTTCCAGGTAATGATTTAATTTGCCACGGCTTGGCAGATTTATGGCGGCGCACCTCGACGTTCGCGTACGTATCCACCTATTCACCTATCCAGCTAGGCGGTACGTATAGGTGTCCTCTATCCTGTGCCGTGATACCGTAAGAGCGTTATAGGTGTCCTATGCGCACGGTAGCGCTGTAACGTAGTACGAGCAGCATCATACTGCGTGTCCCGTCGCGCGGAATAAACCGACTGCGACGCTTGCGTTATAGATGCTCGAGTCTCACGCAATACTAAGTAATTGCTCAATTTTCCCCACAAACCTCCTGCAGATGCATATCACGCAGTGCAATCTCAAATTCTCATCCGACCCTTTATCCCCTTTAGTAATCTCGCGTGACAATGAAATTATACTCGGGATGTTAATTCGATGGAGCCTACCGATCGACTCTCTCGGCGCTTTGATTTGCCGCGTGTTACCGACGCCTCTTGAGATACGATCGAACACGAAAGTAAAACTGTTTCAGCAAATAGTAAAATTCCGAAAGGTTTCCTGGGAAATGGAAGGTCGACGTGGATATAATATTGGTGTGTACCGGAAAAGAATCTGGGACGCAGCACTGCTGGACGTGTCCACTAATTGTAAGGATGATCGCGTGGAGGATAGTCTGCAGGAGCCCGTTACGGCGACGGTGATGGCAGTGGTTAAGTGCACTGCAGTCATATGTCTTGTCGCGTGACTTCTTATTCCGAAGGGCGATATATACGGTCCCGGCTATGGATAATCCGAGACACGGTGGCTTCCGAGTTTATGGAGTACGACAATATATCCTGGAAATTTAGTAATTCAAAATCGTCAGTGGCAGGGAGCCAGAGATGTGCACGATCCTTATCGGTACAGCATTACAGTAATACGACCGAGGCAACGAAGAGAGTCAAATCTAATTTGCAAGTGGGGGAACGAGTTCTTATCTTGAGGCACGTTCGACTTGCGACCGGATACAATTAACACATATTACCAATATACGTTAATCGACAGATGGTATATTCTTTGCATGTCAATCCCATTAACCCTGATGTCAGTGTTAATAATTTTTTTATTCCGTCTTGATATATCTTATCTTACTGTAATGGTTTCGCCTTGCTGCTGGGCCGCCCATTTCCATGGAGACCGCCAAGTAACTTCTTTAAGAGCGCAGAAAACAGCGAGTTATAGTAGCGATTATGCACCGCCCACACGGGAGGTCTGGGCGAGCATTCTAATGACAGCATAAATCATTCGCTCCCCAGGAAGCATTTATCATCATCGAGATTCTGACCAGCATCCCGCTTTCTTCGTCGTTAGAATAGGGCCGGGGCAGGGCAGCCCTAGTCGCCAAAAAATTCAGAGACGCAAAGCGTAGGCACGTAATGGATAGGCGCGCGTCTCTATTCTATAGGATTAAGACCATTAACGTATCATCCTCATTTCGACTCGGGGATTCTAATGACGTTTCATTGTCTGCATTGGATTAATTATCGACAGTTTTCCTAGGAATTTCTACGAATAGTCATTCATCTTGCTTAAAGTGCGTCGAAAGTGGACACTCGTTAAAGTTATACATAAACGGGCGGAGCTGACGATAAATAGGAAGCACGAATACGCGAAGGGACGAAATTCTTAAAAGATGCGAAGCTTGTAGAGGAAAATGAAAAACTGAAAGAATGCGCGAGGATATCCCGTTAGATTATTTCCATAAATGACAGCAGCCGACGTGTGAGCGTCCTGCAAGAACTGCTTTACTGATTCTGCTTTACCATTAAATCTCGATCGAACTAATATGTTTGTCGTGTTTCCGATCGGACATAAGATATTCGCGTGATGTCACTGTAGACTTTGGTACCATTAAAACATAACTCGAAATATGCATTAGCATAATTAGCCTTATGTAATTTATTGGTGTCTTAATCGTGGCACGATAAAATCTTCTTGGAAGTAAGACCCAATAGCTTTTTGCGAGCACAGCCTTCGCCTACCAATCGTTTGCTCCGCATAGCTGTAAATTATTCTTCTCCAAGTGCTGCTATATTAATCGTCGTATCATCCAGTCACGTCGCCCCAAGATAACCACGTATACCATCCATTATACGGGTACCTGAAGATGGCACCAACAATTTTTTTCATCATCAGCGATCTAATGGGTTTTAATCGGCATAGCAGTTAAAGAATAGTAAAAGAAAGTTGACGACAATCAATTTCGAAAATGTTCAGGTCGGCCTGAGCTCGCATTACGATCGTGAACATATTAAATCTGGGAATAATGATGCTTCGTCGACCATTGGCTTCTCGCCTAAGTAGATTCTTTGATCTGTCCATATTAAAATATATATATATGTATATATATAATTTCATAAATAAATTATAATACATAAATATCTATCTTGTTACTGACGTCACATTACGCTCATTTCGCGAAACACGTACGAGTCAACGTGTCGCTATACACAGTGTCCATATTGACACGTGTTCGTATCCAGAGGTACCCATATCTAGTGGTAGCCTTCTTCTCCAACGAGTCGAGATGAGCAATCGATGAAAATCTAATTTTTCCTGCGTAACGCGGTAAATCGGATTGGACCAACGATACCAGGAACAACCATTAAAAGAAAAGTGAAGATTAGAGCAAGCAAGTGACGTAAATTGTAGTTAGTGTAATCTATTATATGTATTTACAACCTACTCGGCACGTAACTCCTGAGGCTCGATCGGAAATTGCGTACGAGCCAACCGATACCGCTAAAAATGTATAGGACCTGGCTGCCGGGAATATAGACAACTCCGGACTGAAAATACATTCAGGACGCGAACCTAAGGGTATCACCTTAAGCTCCCCATTGGAACGTGTGTCTCGGCCTTGCCTTTTCGGCCCTCGATATCGAATGGGTATCGAATGGATATCGAATGGTTCTCTGAAGGTTTCCCAATGGCTATGCTGCAGTATTTCATGACTGCAGATACTTTCTTCTTTTGGCTCCTGGCTCTTGTTTCCTCGTCTTTCCTCTGTGGATTTTTATTTTTGTCATTCAAAGCCACCTTACGTTACCCACTATGAGCGACATCGGATTCGAGCAGATCAAAATCAGAAGGGACACTCGGTGCATCGAATATCGTAGCAACAAATCGTTCCTTATATAGGGTCTCGAAGTTTGTGGTTAGCCAAAAAGAGCAAATAACGCGTATGTATCTCGGGCTATGCCTTGTCAATTCTTTATTTGTTGACTCATACCTTAAACGGTGTTTGGTTCTTTCCTCTATAGTGACACGTGTCGTTCCGCATTTCACAGCGCCAAGACTGTGATTTTTCACTGTCTATTCCGGGGTTACGCTACCTGCGTTCGCTCTTTGTCAAAGTAGCCGAATATCGCGTCGATATTATTCTTATTTGCTTTCAGTCACGATCAACCCATACGCCCTGGAAATATGAAAATCAGTCGAGTATCGTGCGTGCAGACGGGTTTTCTTCCTGTTGCTCCTGTGATCCCTTTGATAAGGAGCCAGACACGATCGTCTGGCTGTCTACGAGTGAGCGATTGGTCGGTCTGTTCGTTAGTTAGCCAAGTTAATGTAGAGCCGGTTTTCTGTTTCAGGCGGGTGTTCTTCACGGCAAAGATGGGGAGTTCTGGCTGGAGGCAGTGACTACAGAATCGGAAGAATACAATCAAGACGGAAGACGAAGTGGAGGCGACGGCGACGAGAAGTATGCCAGACAAGGCGCCGCAACGCTTACGAGCATGGCGGCAGCTGCGACGGCTCGCCCGCACCTTGTCTTTCGTCGCTCAGCCGCCGCCGAGATTGGCGCCAGTCGCAAACGCAGGCGGAAAAAGAAGAAGAAACACGAGAAGAATTGCGGCACTCGTGGTGAGAATCAATAGACACCTCGGTAATTGGTTTCCTCGTTCAGGAACATTGTAAATCATCTACTGTTTCCAAATATTTTCATAAAGACAACGTCGTTCTCTATCCCTGTACTTCGAAATCTCAAGGGTCCGAGGTTATTAAATTCAGGTGAAAATTTTAGATAAGGAACGGATCACTGATTTATCATTTTACACGATCCGCACGAGATACGCTCAGTGAGACTACATCGTACTTTACCTTTATTACGAAGAATAACTTCGAGAATGATCTTTCATGGATCATTTTTAGATCAGTTGTGGATCCATTTGGTAGGCTGAAGTAATCCTATGTAGATCCGAGCGTAATTTGCCGTGAAACGTTTAAATAAATTGAACTACAGCAAGGTCTCACTGTAGGTGTGCCTGTGCGGGATCTCACGTGGACCATGCAAAATTATCAATCACCGATCCGTTCCGTAGCTCAACATTTTTACCTGGGAATATTAATGCGAGATTGATCTTTTTTGTGACGCACGACCTCGATTGATTCTACAGAGCCAAGGCGTCTGACGGAAACACAACTCGAGTGGCAAACTCAGTCTGGGCTGGTACAAGTTCAGGGTCGGGGCCGTCGGAAACATCATCAGCCAAGACGGTGGCAACGTTCCAGGCGTTTCAGGCGATCGGTTAGTCGCGCGCGACACGTTGAGGCTCTCGTAGTGGCTGACAGCTCGATGATGGCCTTCCATCAAGACGGCGATGTGGAAGTTTACCTACTGACAATCATGAATATGGTCTCGTCGCTCTACCTTGATCCGACTATTGGCAATTTCATCAATGTCGTCGTTGTCCGGATAATCCTCGTGGAGGAGGACGAAGTGGAGGTAGGCGATGTGATTTAACTCGATCGTCAATTTGCTCAATGTCAACCGTATTATTTCAGCAAGGACTGAACATCACGATAAACGCCGACAAGACGCTTTATAATTTTTGCAAGTGGCAAGAAAAATTGAATCCGGCTGATGATTCTCATCCGAATCATCACGACGTGGCGATTCTCGTTACGAGGGAGGATATCTGCTCGAGAGCGAACACACCGTGTAGCACCTTGGGCGTGGCCCACGTAGCCGGCATGTGTCAACCGGACCGCAGCTGCAGTGTCAACGAGGACAACGGGATTACCCTGGCACATACCATAACTCATGAATTAGGCCACAAGTAAGCAATATACGTCATCGCTTCCACCCTGTCTCTGCCTGACGTTATTATTGAGACTTATCGCACCTCCTTTACTTGACTACAGTTTCGGCATGTATCACGACACTGAGAAAATTGGATGCAGCAAACGTGACGGCGATACTCTTCACGTGATGACTCCGACTTTTGAAGTGGATACCGTGGGTGTTGCGTGGTCACGATGTTCCCGGAGAGACATTACGAATTTCCTTGAGTAAGGAGTCGCCGCTTAACACTCATTCTCTCTTGATTTACATGCGTTATAATAATTGCGCATTTACCTTACACTCTTTCTGTTTCCAGTCAGGGTAAGGGAGAGTGCTTGGAAGACGAGCCAGTGGACAACGAATATATGTATCCGGACTTACCGCCAGGTGCAATGTACAATGCGGAACATCAATGCAGATTGCAATTTGGGGTGAAGGAAGCCACGGTCTGCTCTCCATTGCAAGAGGTAATTTTAGAACTAAATCAAAGGCTGTCCGCTTTTTGGATAACGCGTCGAAAGCATTACGCGCCTCTCGTTCGTTTGACGCTTATAGATCTGCTCGAAACTGTGGTGCATTGTGGACGGGTCCTGCACGACAATGTTGCATCCCGCGGCGCCAGGAACGTATTGCGGTAAACATATGGTGCGTAGTCAATGTAATCGTTATCGGAAGAAATAAAAAGAGAAAGAGAGAGAGAGAGATTATTGAAAATATTATAATTCTCCTCGTAATTTCAGTGGTGCCAAAATCAAAAATGCGTATCGATGGCCGATCGACCCGATCCCATTGATGGTGGATGGGGCGAGTGGGGGGCCTGGAGCGAATGTTCCAGGACCTGTGGCGCCGGCGTCTCCGTAGTTGAGAGGAAATGCGATCATCCGCAACCGGCACACGAAGGAAAATTTTGCATTGGGGAAAGGCGTCGCTATAAAATCTGTAATACCGATCCCTGTCCCGAGGGAGCACCTTCCTTTAGAAGCATACAGTGCAGTAATTACAACGGCAAGGAATATAAGGGCAAAAACTACACCTGGCTTCCCTATTTCGAACAGAGTAAGAACAAACAGAGCCTCGTAGAATGTATTTTTCATTACTTGACTATTATCCCATATCTCGTTATAACCTTTTTTTTTCTGTTTTCTTGAAATTAATTACGCAGCTGAGCCGTGCGAACTCTATTGTACCGACACTGAGGAGAGTGTGATCGTTCCGTGGGGAGAAGCTGCGCTCGATGGAACGCCTTGTAATGTCGGTACCAGAGATATGTGCATTGCAGGGATATGCAGGGTGAGCGATCAATCGTCGATATCCTTTAAAATAATAGCGATGGCTGGATTGACGTTTGACTCGGAAAAATTTGAATAAACTCGAGATTTCAGAAGGTCGGATGCGATTGGACCGTTGATTCGGATGCGAGCGAAGATCGTTGTGGAATTTGTCATGGCGATGGCACTCAATGTGAGACCACTGCCGGCCTCTACAAGAAGAACGAGGGTCCCGGATACAAGGAGGTTGTCGTTATCCCCAGTGGATCCAGGAACATTAAAATCGAGGAAGTTGGAAACAGCAAGAACTATATCGGGATCGGTGTTCCTAGCTCCGAGAAGTACTTCCTCAATGGAAAACGGTGCGTCAAGCGTCATCAAATAGATTCTACATTCGATCGAGGAAGCGACAGAGGAAAGTCTAATATTCAGATTCCCTTGGATAGGCAGATCACCTTAGCGGGCGAGTACGAAGTCGCGGGAACGCCGGCACTCTACGAGCGCGAACGAGACAAGGAAAAGGTTCGCATACCAGGCCCAATCAAGGAGGATATCGCCGTCTACGTGAGTATACGAGAATCCACATCCGCTTCTCTGTACGAATATATTTTTCTGTTGTCATTCTTCTATTCTATCGGTTTTTTTTCCTCCTCGCCTCACTATCCACTTCTCTTACTCAATAACGCAACCCTATCATTTTAGTTGATTTACAGAGGGCATTATCGTAACTTTGGATTGCGTTACGAGTATACTGTTCCGAAGAAGGAACCAGATCGTGCTCCCGAATACTCCTGGGTACTTTCCGACTGGTCATTGTGTACCGTAACATGCGGGGGTGGTACCCAGATATCCCAAGCCATGTGCCACGAACGAAAGAGCGGCGTCGTCGAGGATACATTTTGCTTTGGTACCGATAAGCCTGAGCCGATAATGCGAGAGTGTAATAGCAATCCATGTCCTGCAAGGTGAGTTCTTTCATGTAAAAATGTTCATTCCTCCGTGTAATCGTTTGATTGAAAGCGCAGTGCTTTAGCGTTTACTTTTATGTATGTACCAGATGGTGGATTGGTCCTTGGCAGATGTGTCCTGTAAGCTGTGGCGAAGGCGCCTTAAGAAAGAGGTCGGTAATGTGCGTATCCTCCGGAAACGGGAACGAGAGGTCAGAACTAGCATTGCCTGATCGCGATTGCGACAAAGATGCAAAACCCGAAGAACTAGGATTCTGTCCAAATCTTCCCAAGTGCGAGCCGGTCTCGGACATGCCCCTAATTCTTCTAACCGAGAACAAGGACACGTCCTTTTACAATGTGACGGATAACGACCCAGACAGGATTACCGAAGAACCGGAAATTCTTGGGTTCGACAATTTGCTCGATGGAAATCCTGATGCGTCGATCTACAATACGAGAGCGAAATGGCTCGTTTCTAAATGGAGCAACTGCATCGATGGCAGAAGAATCAGAACAGTTTCTTGTTCCATTGTGGGAGATTGCGATCCTGATAGGAAACCTACATCGAACGAGGAGTGTCATGGCGGCAAGTGGATATCCAGTGAGTGTCCCCCCAGTTGAGTGAAGCAACCTCAGCAGACTATCTCGTTCCTTCTCCGAATTGCTTTCGTCTGATCCTTATGACGAATTATATTACTTGCAGGCAAGTGGAGTGCTTGTAATGCCACGTGTCTCGTGAAATCCGGTCTAAAACGGCGAGAGGTCATTTGTCGCGACAGAGCGACGAATCTCTCCTCGAAGGATTGCAATCTCGAAAGACGACCGCTTGACACGAGACGCTGTCATTTGAGACGACAGTGCACAGAGGAGAAGTATGGTGAGTATGTCAGTTGAAGACACGACTAGTGACACGAACTCTCCGAATCGTAGGATCGTCGCAAGTGAACCCTGCCTGACCCCAGAGCAGTTCCACGTCTAATGCGAGATCCGTCAACTAACCAGAGACTGTGGTTATACTCTATTTCAGGATGCAAGGATAGCATGATTCCCGTCTCAATGTGTGCGCCGTACAAGCGAATGTGTGACTTATCTTCTAATTTAAAAAAGAAATGTTGTGCCACGTGCTCCAAGAGACGACGACACGTTCGTCACGACCAACGACAACATATTTACGAAAATTAACAAATTAAGAATTCTAAAGTATGTATCCGTTAGGCTGCGTTGGCTCGATCATCGTTTGGCATTGCGATGCATCTAGCACAACGTGACATTCTTGCTCAGGGAATTTAGGCGACGATTTTCATAGAAGTTGGACTCTGGACTCGTAGTCAGTGGCGCCCTATTCACGTCGAAATACGTAACACGTAGTTCTGTCGCTGAAGATCAGACGAACGCGCTTAGCGCTTACCGACTATATTTTACGATTTAGACGAAACTACGCGCCTTCGTATTTACGTAACGTGTTTTCAAGATACGTGCCAAAAGTCTAATCCCTCGCGACGTATCTCTTAGTCGAATAATTAGTTAGGTCTTTTTACGAGACGACCGATTTGCGCCGCACGAATATTAAAAGCACTAGCCAAAAATTTATTAAACGACCAAGATTTTACCATACTTCATTTTGACTGGTCTGACCGTGAATAATCGCGTTTGTGAGTTGGGTTCTATTCAAATGAGAAAGAATGAGTTTTCTCCTTTCGACGAGTAGTGCACTTTCCAAGTAACATTTGAATGCCGTTCTAACAGTAATATTCTTCCATCGGCATTGCTGCGCAGAAAATGCTTATGTTACTTTACTAACGATCGGCATTAGATCAAGATTAATGCTCGTAGGTTATATCGTGCAACAACTAATATTTAGTAAGGTGTAAATCGTTTAAGAATGAATCGTCACGATTAAAAATATTATCGATTGCAATGTGAGAGAGCTTTAACGATTCAAAGGGCTTCAATAATCGTGCCCAATTTTACCTTTATTCCCTACGTCTTTTCAGCAGTAATATTTTTATATCGCTCGCCGACTCACCTAGGCTATGTATTACAAATTACTAAAGCAGAAGATTCTCCGCGGTTGAAGTAATATTAAACGTTTGAAAATCATTGCAGTGTTGCAGCGGTGTTCAAGTTTTCAGCACATCGCCAAATTGCATGGTCACGCACGACCCTAATTTTTATATTCGTTTATGGATAAGCTCAGGACTGTACAAATTCAGGATGTACGCTTCTACGTTAATTGACGTATTTTCTGTCAATAAACGAATCTAACTAATTAAGAATTATGAATTCTCTCTTCATTTCTTTGTCAACTTTTTCCACTAGCATCCACGCTCCGTTCGACTTTAAACAGCTATTTCCTGTCTAACATTGACCCCAATTTTCATGACAAACTAGTGCTCACGGGTCGCTCGGTGGCCAAGGCCGCATGAGTAAGTGTACCACACACGTGTGCTGACATGGCAAATTAAAAATCTATAGAGATTTGAATAATCACGAACAATGAAAGGTGATCTCGTCGAAGGTAACTAGGTAGCTCGAGTCCACCTCATTTCGTCATCTGTCTTGGATTTTAGAATCCCGCATGAGCTACACAAATACATACGTGTCGGTCGTACGATACCAAGAAAGTCATTTCCCATTTCGGTGAGTCCGATCGAAGGAATCACATTATGGATGTGGATTACTATCCCTTGCAGCAAATTTTCACCCGTCACCCTTTCACCGGGTTTGGACTCGAGAGAATTAAACTACTGTACCGGTGACGAAGGCATCAGCAGCGAGCGTGTATGGTGACACGCAAAAATATTAATTTTTTATATCACTGTAATCGCATAGTCCGTGAGATACTGGACGTAACACTTTCGCTCACTCGTTCACACGTTGGCTGCCTCATGAGAATCCTATTTTACCAGCCACCGGGCAGCAGCATCACTCGGTCAGTCGTTTATACAATCTACGTGTTAGAGCCTAAGGCGTACTCTGCGTTTTTCTTGTATAGGTATTTGGCTCTGTAAACGGACCTGCTCTCGCTTCATTTGAATAGTATAACCAATGCGAGTCGTAAACACACCCCACTCCTTTAGGATTATTTAAAACGGAGTATGAACTGGTCCAAGTGAATAACGACGTCGAATCAAACGGTAAGTCGAATCGCTAGAGAAGCTTATCGTTTCCAGCTTTGCACACGAGCTAAATTTAAGTTTGAAGACTTCTCAATTAGTAACTCTCATTGGGATTTTGCGAAATGAAGCGAAGCCAAAATTCTCTACGAAACAATACTACTTTGCAGCGAGCGATGGTTTTGGACCAAACGATTCGTCGTTATACCTGAGGCGACCTTCGTCGAGAAGTGACTCGGACGATCGCAAGGCTCACACATGGTGTTTCAACGACGTCTCAGTTTATGTACGGCCTTCATCAAGAAAAGATTGCTAGCGCGCGCGCGCGCGTGCGCTCACGTATATCTGCACCTACGCGACGTTCGTTCAAACAGTTCTCGACCGCGTAGCTTCGCTTTTCTACAATTCACCGATCGTCTTGAATCCTGCAATACTCTGAAACGAGGTTCGTAAAGTCATGCAACGTCATCATTGTTATTTTCTGAAACTTATTTGGGCCATGCACTTTATATTAAAGTTTCTTGTCATATTGGTCAATTTATATTGATTCGATGGCGTACATATGAAGATGAGTGTGACGAAGACAAGTGTTCATCGTTAACCAACGGTGCATATCAAATGGATCGAATCTCAATTGTCATTTAAGTGTTTGGAGTTTCAGTGAAATAGCTCAATACTAGACAATTATCGCGCATTTCGTCTGACAATTGGGTGGCTAAGCGGCTCGGTGTACGCGCGACGTTTAATGTGACGACAGAAACGCGACGCACACTGACTCGCTGCTGCATCTGTTCATTTCTTTAACTTTTTTATTCGCATAAAAAGTTTCATACTTTATGTTTTATCCTACTTGACGACGTTTCCACGTATGGTTTTTTCATCACGCGACGGACATTTACATACTTTTTATCGTAAATTCGTTTATTTGTCATGCCAACAATTGCCCATTGTTGCACATTGCACGCTATTCATGATGATATTTATCGATAAAACTGTCAAGTGTTTTTGAAATTATATTATGCATTTATAGTATATTTCTCTGAAACAAGATTATGGAGGACGAAGGAGATTGGCTTATCGATACCTCTAACGGCGTGTTTCAAAGTCATTACATTCTTGGCGAGATAATCGGCAGGTAAAGATATAACGAGATTATTACGTTACGCTACTGTTTCATTCTTGATCGATCTTTTCAGAGGTTCCATTTCCACGATACATAGTTGTCTTTACAAAGGACGAAAAAAATATGCCTGCAAGATAATACCGAAGTCGCGCATGATAAAGGAAGAAACGCGAGCGAGAATTAAGACTCTTCTAAAGATTCATCATGAAAACATCGTAAGAAATGAAACGTCCTTCCCGCGTATAATTCGACGTTCACATGTCATAGCAGCTCATATATCAGGTATGTGAGATCTGTTCTCGTGACAGGTGACGGTGAGGGAGATCTACGAGGACACTCGTCGCCTCTACATGGTAGGGGATTTGGCGTCCGGTGGAGAATTGCTTGAACGGCTCGCATCTCGCAAAGAATATTCAGAGAGGGATGCTGCGAAAGCAGCAAGAGATGCACTGGCTGCACTTGAGGTATCAATATCGACAGACTCCAGATAAGTTTTCTAATGGTTGGCATGTTGGGCGAATAAAGAAAATAATCTTTTTCTCTATCTGAATTCCAGTATATTCACGGGATGGGAGTTTGTCACGGAAGTGTACGTCCTGAAAAATTCCTTTACGCCACCGAACACGAGAATTCTCGCCTACTTCTCACCAGCATAGGAATATCAAAGTTTTTGCCAAACAGCTACAACATATTGTATTGCGGTACGCAGTGTGCAGAAAATACACGTTCGCCCTCGTTAAATCAGCAACGAATTTACGTTTATGAGTTTCCGCTTGTTCGGTGCACCACGCACGATCCCCTATAATCAAATTTTTATGGATTTTGTGATTTCAGCACCGGAAGTCATAAATACCGGCATTATTTGCCCTGCGGCTGACATATGGAGTCTCGGAGTTGTTATTTACATTATGTATTAAACATTTTTTTATTATTTTCGCAACACACAGTTCAAGTGTTTATTCATTATGTCATTATGTTGAAGATGAGTTCATCGTCATATCTAGCGGGTGTATTGACTTTTAGGTTGTGCGGTTTTGAGCCAACTCGGGAAGCTCGGGAAACTTTATTTCCATCTCCCTACTGGGATGACAAGACGGATGAAGCGAAAGATCTAATCACTGAGGTATTTCAACGAAGCAGCTGCATTGTCATTTTTGTATTATTACTCAACATCGAAATATTTCAGCTTATGCAGGAGTGTCCAGAGAAGAGACCTACGGCAAGGGATCTTTTAAATAATGTTTGGATCTCCGGAGAAACAAATGCAGAACACTCGATGACTGATGCAGTCAAACATCTTCGACAATTCAACGCTCGTAGAAAATTTAAGGTATTTGGTAGTTTGCTACTGGATAGTGAAAAAATTCGTGAACGAGGATTAATTATCGTTTCAGGCCGCAACACATGCCGTGAGAGCTACGCATCGCGCAATTGCACTTTCGCATTTCCATCAAGAAATAACCCAAACAGCAAAATGACTTCAATTTGCGGTGACTTGGAGTTCGACATAAAAAATCAATTGAAATTATCACTGAGCTCAATGAAATGGCAAGTTGAGAAAATCCCTTTCGAAGAGGCTCGATTCCAAAGAAATAACGAGCTCTGTAATCTCACATTCTCCTGCAGTTCGCGACACAACGAGATAATAGTTACCTCGACTCACAGCTGGCAGCACCCTAGATGTTCCGCCAGTACGTCAGATTTGCGCGGCATCGGACACACGTGGATACCTCATCTATTTATCTTCAGTCAACAAGACTGTTTTGATGAACTTTTGATCTTGGTCTCGCCCAGTTTTACTGCGCCATCTCTGAACTATTCCACGAAACAGCAATATAAAATCAATGTGCAGCTATACCAATTGAGAAATATCGTCGACAAATAACTGTGTCCGTAAAGACAAGAAATATTATTGTTTTAGGACCCTCACTTTTCTGAAATATATTTGTACATTGCGTATTCCAGTCTACTGTTATTAGGTGATCCATTTCTAATCTATTTTATTATGCAGTATTAACTTTCAATGTGCAGAAGCTACCGCGTATACCAGGAGTCGTATAAATGAAAATAATTGCCAAGAAAGTGCAGCTGCCGGTACTTTCACGCTTTAGATATACTCATCATTACACTATTGTGGCTCGATCAATTTGTAAATGAATACATTTTGTTTTAACTCAATTGTGCAAGCGCTCCGATGATACGTGAAGGCAGAACAGTTCTCAACAAGTTCTCAACAGGATGTTCTGTTAGTCTCGGAGTCACAATCCTTACGACCTCCATTGTCACAGAACCTGTTGTGCGGATTTCGTGCACCCTTCGGCCTCCATCCTCACCGCTTAAACATCCTTGGATTCTCTCTCTACATTTCGCACAGCCTCTCTCGAGAAATGTGTGTAGTGTAGGCCAGTTACATAGATAGTATAGAAGGGCAGGTAGAGAAATAGGCAGGCAGGCAGCCTGGTAGACTGGCAGAAGGGTGGACGAGGAGGATAGCCGGGTAGTACGTTGGGGTTTGGCTGGATCCCACTGAGCTTGCGCAATGGGAGAGGATTCTCTGGGTGATTCGCGAGGCTCAGACCTCGCCACTCAGATTCGTTTCGCAAGCTCGTCGCGACTCAAAGTCAAAATACCGCGACCATGAGATCAGTAACCCGTAATGGGACACCACCATCCCAAATACGAAATCAATCACGGAAGTTCCTAGCCTATAACAATTTGAACTCGAAGCTGCTTCTTACGTTTTTGCTCAAATATTAATTTACTCTTCGGAAAGTCATTCGTCAAGGAACGAGATAGTACAAAATTACGACTGCTTACTTGAAAGGGCGAAAGAGGGCAGAAGAGAAGAGGGTGAAAGGAAAGAGCGTGCAAGCGAAAGAGAGAGAATCTAGATAAAGTTAGTATATGTTACAGAAAGAGAGGAAAGTGAGCGATGGGAGAAAAGAGAAAAGAGCGAACAGTGCAGGTATTGTACAAAATCTCCACTTCATCCTTCGTTTTTATCTTCTAAACATTATTCTTTCATACTGTACGTAATTGTTTTACTGTATCTAGTTAGTATCTAACTTGTGCTTTTTTCGGTACGCGATGTTTACTTTCACATAAAATACGAAGCATCGTGATTCAAACATTTTGCAATCATTGAAAAATTTGTGACAGTGATTGACAGGACGTCGATACAAGCATCTTTAGTGTCGATCCGTATAGCTTTGCCATGTTTGTGAAAAATTGCACATTACATCATAATTAGTTAATTAGTTTTAATTTTTACCTTTTACCTCATTCGTTTCAAGTTCATGAAATATGTATCGGCGTTCATCAATGTTTACTGCGTGCTTTTCATTTTAGTCAGGTTTTATAATTAGAGCATTGAGTACGGGACAGTTTTTTTCCTTATACCCCAATTGAGATCGTATTCCCCTAAGGGTGGAGAGATACTTTAAAACGAGTCAATATTCAGAGGATCTGGAAAGACGTCGTTGCGTGGTGAAAATTTCTCAGGGGCTTCGAAATATTCATGCACCTATAAATTCGTGATACTATCGGCGGATCGCATTACTTTTACCCAACCTCTTAATCGAGTAGTCGAATTTATACTTCATCTTGAAAGTTTTCTCATTTAAAACTGTTTGATTGATATTTTCTTCCTTCAATTTGTGAGTCTAGAACGGATCAGTGGATGAGTGTATCTGCTAAAAATTGTATGATTCGCGTGATCACGGAATCGTGATTGCACATTAAAATATACCTCGTAATAATTTTAATAGGATGTTCATGGTTTTTAATACCATTCTACCACATACAAGGTAATTCGGACAATCAATTTTTCCACGTTGCCCATAATAATAAAAAAATAAAGAAGAGGAACTACAGTGTCTTGGAGACGACGACTGAAAATGCTCAGCCCTAAGATGCAAAGAACTGGTAAGTCCTGCGAACCTTACTCACAGCTTCTCCCTTGGTTGTCTATCTTCCTTTATAAATGCGTTTATTGACGTTTCGTTTTTTCTGCTTATTTCTCCTCCTCTCAAAAATTCCACTCCATACATCTATTTAGTTTGTTAACTAGCAATTATTGTTGATATTGGTTTATTATTTATTTCCGTACCGAGCGATGAGAATAAATTCCTAATTGAAGTATCTATTTATCTGCTATGTACGACTTGCGATGATTTATCGATAGGACGTTGCTTCTATATAAGCTTTTGAAAAACGGATATACGTTATATACAATGTATGTATTCAGACTGTATCAATTGATGTAAATAATAATCTTTTCTTCAATGTGTATTTTTAGTGCGAGTGAACGATTCTCAACTGGTGATGCTTTCCGAGAGGGCGAAATACGACCACTCACTTGCTGGACATTTGCATAAGCGAACTGCTGATTCTGCCAAGTGGCAACTACGTTGGTTCGTCCTTTATCAGGTGCACAGACATCCCGAGTGACATCGTTCTTTATCTTAGCAGACTTTCTCTTAAAAACCCTTTCAATCTCAAGTAAATGTTAAAACGCCTTTATTCCTCTCTTTGATTAACTCCTTATTATTTCGTATTCCATTGACAAGGCAACCAGACTATTTCTAGTGTTCTACTCTTTCACCATAATACAACTGGTAAAATTGTTTACATTTTCCCTTGGAGATAGAAAGCCTTTGCTCCTATTTCCAAGCTGCTTAGAATTTTAAAAGCAATCAAAGACAAATAGATTAATCAAATTGATGCCTTTCAGAATATGCTCTTTTACTACGAGAGCGACGCCTGCTCGCGTCCCAGCGGCGTCATCCTCCTTGAGGGTTGCTACTGCGATCGTCTTATCACTGCGAAGGGCAAGGAGCACGATAATCAGGTAAGGGCACTTGATATTCTCTTGAGGATCGACCTGCACTACATGAAAAATCGGCAGAATAGAGAGAAAGAGAGGAACGGATGAGGCTCAAAGTCTAATAGGTTCTTTTATCGGTGACAATGAGAGTGCGAGGGAGGCAGATTCGTGGCATAGGACAATAAGAAAATCATGAAATGCAGGACACGTGCCAATTAGAATCCAAACTCATTGCCGAATTACTTCATTCTCTTCTCTACTTCTAGGTATCTCAGATTTAAAAAATATTTCAATCGTCCCCAATGTTCAGTTATTCGCTTTATTCCAGCGTGACTCAATATTTTATATGATGACATTGCAAAATTTTCAAAGTCCAATAAAGCCTGTTCCAAAGAGCTGAAGGACCAAAAAGAGTAGGAACTTGTTGAAAATTGAAGATAGTGTGGAATGAGAATCTAATGCAAAAAGTTTGCCCC